TTCACTCTTTTACTGGAAATATATAGTACTTTTAAGAAATATTAATACACAAAGTCAAATTAAGGCATCGTTATTCTTACACAAGGCACTAAGCGAGTGCATTGAGTTTCATTTATTGCAAAATAATTAAAAAATCGCAAGTAAGGGACGGCTGATTTCGGGTGTAACCTAATACCTTCAACCCTTGCAACTTATATAAGGTTTTTTTCCCGAATTTCAATCTCACAGGTTGACCGAAATTTTTGATATAATTTCAGTTTGGCAATTCTTGGGCACAAGCGCACTATTTACGCAAAGCTTTGTGCCGATACATTGACTGGTGCTTGATTGGCATACTGGAAAGTTGAAGAATTAGATGGAATTGAAAAATCAGTTACATGGGGAGTAAGAGTGGTTGTAGTCTGATTTCACTCATTTTCGCAGATGATATTACATATGTATGTAGGTAGATATCGGTCGAGTAGGTCAAGATACCTGTATGAGTTTTTACCTAACCCATGGTCTTACTTGGGACTGTGCTTCTATAAAGTTTTTAATAAAACCGTAATAAGGGGAGTGGGCAGAGTTATCATCAGGTTTTTTTTATTTGTCTTAATTTAAAGCTTAGTTTTGGCACTGTATAGATTTTCGTATAACGGCGTTTGTTGGAGTAGCAGAGTTCCGATTACGCCCATCCAAGAACTCTCTGTTTTGCCAAGGAACTCGTGTACTAAGTTTCGTTGCGATATTTCAATTTTTACCGGAATATAAGCTTCCACTGACGGACGAACAGACAGAGAATCACTCGAAATTCAGCTTTTCTCGTCATTCTGATCATTTATATATATGTATACAACCTTATATCTCTCGCGATTAGTTTTAGGTGATACAAACAACCGTTATGTGAAAAAAACTACTATACTCTGTAGCAACATGTTGCAGGAGTATAATATAAGATATGTTTATAAATAAATTCAGCTACTTTTATCGCTTTGACCCACTCACTAAGATCCCTTTCTGTGCTTTACATAGTCACATGCTGGATCGAAAGGGTAGCGCTGTGGATGCCGCTATCGCCACATTACTATGTAACGGAATACTCACTATGCACAGCATGGGTATTGGCGGCGGCGTGCTTATGAACATATTTGTGAAGGACACGCAACACGCTTACTCCATCGACGCCCGAGAAGTTGCGCCGTTCGCAGCGTTCCAAGAGATGTTCGATGGCAAACTGGAACTGTCGTTGAATGGTGGTCTTTCCATTGCTGTGCCTGGAGAACTGATGGGCTATCATCGGGCGCACGAACGCTTTGGCAAGTTACCTTGGAAAACGCTGGTCGAACCATCGGTTAAATTGTGTCATGAAGGCTTCTATTTGACACATCATCAATGGAACGCCTTAAACTACCGTTGGCATCACATGAAGAACAACACAGTGTTGACGTAAGTAACAAATGCAAAAACAGATCTAACTTGTTTAATGCCTACATATACTTATATTTTTTCTAGCGATGTTTTTGTTAACGCCACCACTGGGCAGCTGTTTCCGGTCGGCACCAAAATAAAACCGCAAAAAGTGCTTTGCTCAACTTATGAGCTTCTAGCAGAAAATGGACCACTTGACTTCTATAATGGCACCTTAGCGCAGTTGGTTGTGGAGGACCTCAAAGATCTGGGCAGCACAGTGACAGCGTACGATCTGGAATCCTACTCCGCCGACATGGTCAGTTCCATAACAATGCAGTTGGGCGATGATATACTCTATGCGGTTCCACCAATTAGTAGCGGCACAGTTGTAGCCAATATCCTAAGCATATTGGAAGGTTTTAATTTAACCAAAGCTGATTTTGTTGGCGCCGAGAACCAAGCCAAGACGTTACATCGCTTCGCAGAGGCATTAAAGTATGGTTTTGCAAAACGTTGGGAGCTGGGAGATTTGCGCTTCAATGATGTCCGTGAGGTACGTATTTTCCGGCTAATGCCGATATTGTCTCTCATGTCACTTCACTGAGATAGACAATCGGCACTATGCCTGCAATGTGTATATTTTTTTTGCTCATTCATGAACTATATGGAGCTTTTTTCTTTGGCTCAACAGTTGGTTAGCCGCCTCACAAATCCCGAGTATGGAATGAGCATACGCGAAAAGATAAACGATGACAAAGTACACAAGGCGATCTTCGATTATGGCGCACAATTTATGGGCGAAGATGATGCAGGCACCTCACATGCAGTCGTTCTGGCGCCCAACGGAGATGCAGTTTCGGTGACAAGTTCCGTTAACGAATAGTTAGTATTATTGGGTATAACTATCGAAGAGGTTTTGAGTAGTTTCTTTCTAATTTGCTTCCAGTTTTGGTGCCAGTCAGGCGGGGCGACGTACCGGTATCGTCTTTAACAGCGCCATGAATGATTTCTCTGTGGAAGGCACATCTAATAGTTTTGGTCTCCCGGCGGCACCGAGCAATTTTATTGATGCCCGCAAGCGACCCATGTCGTCGATGTCACCAATGATTTTGGCCGATCGTAAAGGTAACGTGCGCTTAGCGTTCGGCGCTGCTGGTGGCTCAAAAATCTTATCGAGTCTTATTGAGGTGGCGGCGCGCTATTTATGGTTCGAACAGGATATAAAATCGGCTATTGACGCGCCGCGCATCCATCATCAGCTCGTGCCCAATGTGTTGCAATACGAATTTGGCCGATTTAGTGAAGTAAGTGCAATTAGTTAAAAATAAAGTTGAATAATAATCGACTGTGAAATATTCGCAGGAGATCTTAAGGCTGCTAAAGAGCAAAGGACATGAGTTAAAGCCTTTCAAGGATATTGGTTCCGTTGTGTGCGCCATCGCACAAAATGATACCGCGATATATGCGAACGCGGACTACCGAAAACGGGGCGGCGTCGCTGGCTTTTGAGACCGCAACCGTTATTTCTCAACGTTTTTATAGCATAAGTGTGCGCTAAGTCCAAAATAAAAAAAAGAAGATACGAGATTATTTATTATCTAAAACCGAGTCAATGAAACAAGTTTACATATACACGAACTGCAAAAGTCGAAACAATCGCCGCAGCCATTTTTAAGCTGTACATTTTAATATTTGCATATGCATACATATATATGTGTGTGCATAATTGCGGTAGGTAAATCTTATACAAAAACAAGAAAGTATGGCACTCGATTACTCCAATCGGAGCTTGAAACATTTTGGACACTTTGTACATTGTAGTATTGGATTTGTATTTGTAATTTGTATTTTTTTAAGTATTATTCTTAGCATTATTTCATATCATGTGCATACATACCTAAATACATACCAATCTATTACATACTATATACACGATTACCGATTACCGAGATATTGCTGAATTTAAAACACAAATATAGCTAATCAATGCAGGAAAGCGTATTTATCTAGATATTGAAGCAGTATTGCTGTAAGCCACCTTGTAAAATGCATTGTTTTCAAAAAACTTTAATAAAATAAATAGACGACAAGCTTTAACTTCTACAAATTTATAATCAAATATACATATTTTTTAAATTAATAATAGCAAAAAGGCCGAGCCCTATCACTCAGCAAGCGAATTTTCTTTGTGGCGTAATGTAAATTGTAAGTGTGATTAAAACGTGTGTTGGAAGGAAATAGTTTATAGCCGTATTTGATCAACATCATGTGAATATACAGGGTGTTCCGTATAAGAGTGTTGGGAGTTTTTAAAACCAAAAACACACTAATTATTATTAAGAAACTACAAATGTTTTTTTTTTATTAAATGTTAAGGAAATCAATATAATTAAGTTCTCAATAAAGCATCATTCAAATGGCCTCCACGACATCTTTTGCTGGAACGAATTTGATGCACCCAATTTTTGAGTACTTTTTCCAAAAAATCAAGTTGTACCACTCGTATATATCACAAATCAACATTGAATTCTGAAGCTTGAAGCAGTTTATTTAATTGCTAAAGACCAATGACTTCACATATCCCCACAAAAAGTAGTGAAATTATGTTATCTCACCATATCTTGAAGGCCATTCAATGTCACAATTTCTTGAAACAATCGAATCTCCAAACTTTTCTCGCATTAATACAGTTGTTGCATGTACTGTGTGGCACGTAACGACGTCTGGTTGGACCAGTTGTTATCAAGATCAACTTCGTCCAATTGCGGCCATAAAAAGTTTGTTATAATCGATCTACAAAGTGGCTGATGAATTTTGCTACATTAAGAAACTCAAATAATTTTTTATTATTTTTTTTCAGTGTATGGAATTCATTTTTCTTTTATTCATGTTAAGGCTCATTCAATTTTATTAAATATAGCTTAATTCGTTAAAAAAAAAATGGAAATTAAATGCAAAAAATTGTCCACACCATTCCTTGGCTACATTAATTCCGGTATAGTATTATTCGTTACTCCAGTTGATTTTATGCATATGTATTGGTTAGTAAAATTGAAAAAAACTTCTTCTCTAATTTGATCAAAATCCCTAAACCGTGTTTCAACAGTTGATTTTATGCAGTACATATTGGTTAGTAAAATTGAAAAAACTTCTTCTCTAATTTGATCAAAATCCCTAAACCGTGTTTCAACACGCTTGATTCACAAATCAAAAGGCAAAATTTCATATTTCCCTCCAGATAAAAACCTGAGTAACTAAGCACACCACTATGACAATCAAGATAAGGAAAAATGTCTAACTAACTAACTTCGCTAGTATAACTTAGGAACTATTTTTTTTTTTCAAAATTTGAAGAAATACACTCTTCCCAAATTCTGTAGATAACAGTGCTTGTTAGTGAATATTTCATTATCTTTCTGAAGATATACTTCTGCATTAAAGTATTGAATAGACCAATTGATGTAATTAAGACAGAGAGTCCTTTTATCGATTTCGAACATGACCAGCAGTTTGGCTTCGGTGCAAATCGTTGGCCAATGCGCATGTCCTAGATTTCAGGACGTTTTCCGAAACTTGACATTCGCCGCTCATTAAACAGCCAGAAAGTAAATATTGCCAGAAAGGATTTGTTGAGTTATTGCGCAACCTTTTCGATATCACGTTGTAGTGATGAATTTAATTCACGGCGGTGTAATTGTACTAAGCGCTGTAGTATTTTTATTCTACAAACTCTCTAAGCAACGGAATTCTTCGCTGCAAAATAGCCAATTATTGCGACCGCCGAATCCGGAAACGCCGCAGCCACCCTCATTCTCACCGCTACACGTGTTCGAAAACGGGGCGGTCTGCTCTGACAGCGATGTCTGCAGTAGAATTGGCAGGTGATTTCACGTGCACCCATAAATATATGTGTATATATGTACAAAGTGTTTAAATAATTTTCCAATACAGAGATGTCATGCAAAAGTCGGGTGGCAGCGCAGTTGACGCCGCCATCGCGACGCTCTTCTGCAATGGGCTGCTGGCTATGCAGAGCATGGGACTCGGTGGCGGTGTACTTATCAATATTTACTCAAGCAGCGAGCAGCGAGGCTATAGCATACTGAGCAGAGAACGCGCACCACTAAACTTCCGATTGCCGGAGGGAAATGTAAGCACAATTTTCCAGTCCGCTTTGGGTATTGCAGTGCCTGCTGAAGTTGCTGGCTATGCGGTGGCCCATCAACATTTTGGAAAGTTACCCTGGCGGCAACTGGTGGAACCGACAACAAAGCTCTGCCGCCAAGGCTACACACTCACCAAACACCAACGGGATTCCGTGTATATCAATGGAAAACTGCTTAAGGAAAATGAAGTTTTGCGCAAAATGTTCGTTGATCCGGAAACAGGGCAGGTTTATAGGACGGGCGCGCACGTACATCCGCCGGATGTCCTTTGTCGCACTTATGAAGCGCTGGCGCGTGACGGACCCAGCGACTTTTATAATGGCTATCTTATGGAAAAAGTAGTGAAAGATTTGCGCGATATAGGCAGTCCCATCAGTGAAGTGGACCTGAGCAATCTGACGGCAGAGCTGACGTTCTCACCCAATGTTACATTAGGTCCGTATACGCTACATTTCACACCACCGCCCGGTAGTGGTTATGTCGTGGGTTTTGTGATGAAGATTTTACAGAAATTTAGTAAGAAGTTCGCTAAAGAAAGTGACATTGATGCCAGCGGGATGCATCATATAGTTGAGGCGCTGAAATTTGGTTTCGTTCAACGTTGGAATCTGGACGTAGAGATGCAAGAAGAGGTACGAGAGTTATGGTTGCTCACTTCCGTAGTTATCACAAGTATATTGCTTCTCCATATTTCGCAGGAGCTGACAAATCTCACAAACTCCTCATACGCACGGCATTTAGCTTATCTGATAGACGAAGAGCGTACTTTTAGGGATGCTACCAGTTATGGCGCCAGCGAGTCTCTTGTTACACGTATAGAGCATGGAACAGCACATATATCGGTTATGGCTCCGAATGGCGATGCAGCCGCCGCAACAAGTTCCATCAACTTTTAGTAAGTCCGCGCCACTATAACTGAAATAAATTTAAGAATAACCAAATTAACATAACCTAATATAGCTTTGGCAGTGGCAAGATCGGTGCACGCAGTGGTATTCTATTCAATAACGCCATGTCGGACTTCACCATCGAAGGCCTTCAAAATTACTTTGATTTACCGAATATGCCGTATAAGAATAGCATTAAACCCGGTGTTTCGCCGATGTCTTCAATGAGTCCCATTATTGTTACCGATCAGCATGGCGTAGTACGTTTGGTGACGGGTGCCGCCGGTGGCACAAAAATAATATCGGTTTTGGTACATATTTTGGTTCGCATACTCTGGCTGGAGCAGAATATTAAACAGGCCATTGACGCACCTCGTTTTCATCATCAACTAGAACCGAATATTCTTGAATATGAATATGGGATCTTGCAAAATGTGGTTAAGGCTTTGGAAGCCAAGGGGCACCGAACGAAACGTTATCGGGAGCGTGGTTCGGCCGTTTGTGGCATTGAAAAAGTTAGGGGCCAAATTTTTGCTAATGCCGACTATCGTAAAGAAGGCGATGTTCGCGGTTTCTAAGAACGAAGAACTTCGAATGTGAGCACTACAGTTTAATATCGATAAAATGTGATAATAGTGAAAGGCAAAATCGTAAAAAAAGAAAGTATTACGCTTATAAACAAAATCGTCTTTAGAAGATAAATCCAAATCTTTATCCAAATTATATGAAAAAATAATACTTAGTGACTTGTTGAAATTTATTGCGCTACTTTATTTAAATATCATAAATTATACAAATATATTACTGATTCAAGCTCAAATACAGTGCCGAAAACTAAAAATCCCCCATACAAATTTAAGCAAGATCTTATCTCAAATAAACTATAGTCTATAAATTATCAGAATGTAACAAGTTTCAATCAAAACTGTTATTTCTTTCAAATCAGGCTGACTTGGAATTTCTCACCCCCCAGATGGTACTAGGTCAGTATACCATCACCCTGACTTGGAATTTCTCACCCCCCAGACAATAATCCCAAAAATGTTCTACAGTGTAATGAGCCAGCATCCATCGAAATCGTTTTCTAAAAGAATGTTAAAAATATATATCGCAAATATAATTTTGTCGTAAGCAAATTTTCCATTAGGTACATGGGATCTAAGCGGATTATTGAACCGCTTTAGTCATCACTATATATTATTTACAGAAAAATCATTATTTTAGGTAAAAATTCAGCCATTGACATTTAAGTTCTTTTTCTTTCTTACTGGCGTAGAAACCGTTTACGCGGTTTTAGCTGAGCTAACAACAGCGCACCAGTCGTTTCTTCTTTTCGCAAGATGGCGCCAATTGGCGATTCCGAGCGAAGCCAGGTCCTTCTCCACCGGGTCTCTCCAATGGAGTTAAGGTCTTCCTCTTTTCGACCTTTCGAACGACATGACCTAGCCAGCGTACCCGTGTCTTTCAGTTCGCTGAACTAAGACAATGTCGTCGTTTTTGTTCGTGGAAAAAGGACTTTATTTCTCTATTGCTCCCGTCCATACATCCGCACCAATAGCAAAGTTATGATTGTCAACAGTGACGTGTGAGTCATGTGGCGAATGCGATGACTGTTTGCTTTATGACAGAAGATATTCCGTCTTGTCCTCGTTCACAATCAGACCCATGCGTTTTGTTTTCTTATCAAGTCTTTAGAAAGCAGAACTAACGGGGCTAAGCGCGACATTTAAGGCCAATGATATCAGTATCATACACTATTATAGAAGACTGGACCTTCTTCATTTAGCGCTACAGCTCGTATTATGTCCTCCAGCAAATAGATTGATAAGTCACACGACAGTGTCTCTCTGCCTAAACATCGCTTAATATCGAACTGCTTGGAGAGGTCCTTCGCGATTCTGACGGAGCTTTGGTAAGGTCCAATCAGTTGTTGTTTCACCCAATACGCTCGATAAAGCCTTATATATTATACTAAGGAAGATTATGCCACAGTAATTGGCGCCTTTTTGTGGATTGGGCAGAGCACACTTAAGTTGCAATCATCGGGCGCAAGCCGCTTTGTTGTTCTTCGGACGGGTAATTGCTATTCGAACATCATCATAGTCGGGCAATCCAACTATATTCCATCATCATCGATTGGGTAATTGGGTTCGCCATCTCCAGTCTCCTCTTTCTCTCTTAGTATTGGTTCTATGCTACGGTGCTCCGGTCCTTCTGTTAGTCGTTGTATCTTTTCGTTGCATTGCCTTCATACTCACGCGTTACGGTTTCTTTCTTTATTTGTCTGCATATGCATCTCACTTCCCTCTTCAACCGATCGTGTTGTGGTCGAAGGCAACATTTCGAGATAGACTGTCCGCTGGATTAGTAGAAACTTTATTGAATAAATCTAGGCCTAATTTGAAGGAAAATACCCATCAAAGCATTGCACTCGAACAATGATAATAATAATGCATAGCAAATACTATTTTTCTAAAGCAGTGTGCTTGAGTTTTGCTGTAAAGAAATTGACACCATGACCGTTAGTGGTCTCATCAACTGCAATATAAATATACTACTGTGATCAAATTGAAATTTTGATTGAATTTTGTCCATTTCATCTCCTTCAAAGTAATCCCCTCACGCTGCAATACACTTATGCCAACGTATTTTCCAGTCATCCTAGCACTTGGAAAAATCCTCCGTCGTGATGGCCATCAGAGCCTTTTTCGATTCAGCTTTTATGTACTACTACTAGTAGCAAGTTTTTAAATATTACTGGTATTAAGACACATACACACTGTAATTGAAAGTATGACCAAGTGATGTGACCTTCCGAATCTTCTTTAATATGTTATTCCGTATTTCCTGTTCAGCTAATGAACTACAATAAATCGACAGCCTTTATATAGCACACATCATTAATTTTAAATTCCTATTTGTACGGTAGTACCAGAGTTACGATACGTAACAGAGCTTTTAACCTAATTAACTCCTTTTGTCACGCCTTTTCACGTTATTCTAACGATAGCAATTAGCCACAAACTTCATTGACTTCACAAGATTTCGTAATTTCAAAGTCCATTCACGTGTAGACAGTTGAGGAAGAATATCTTAAGCAGGGAAATATAAAGTATTCCAAAAATGAACAGCAGTACGATTGATGGCAAAAAAAAGCTTCACAAAAACAATAAATGCAAAGGTATTCTTAAAATCATTGTCGATTATATAACGCAATTTTTAAGCCAAACAACACTGCAAGGGCTCATTTATGTTGGAAATTCGCAACTGCGCATTTGGGAAAGGTAATACAAATATTTTTGTTTACAAAAATCTTCTAAAAAATGCCAACAACTAAAAATAGGACTTACTTTCTCATCTGGTTTGTGACTGTTATAACTGTGGCCATAAACTTTGCGAGGAACGTGTACACGCGTTGGGAAACGACACCGGTTATTATTGGCTTGGAGGCGCATACGACTCAGATACGCACCAGCCCTTTTCCAGCAATCACTATCTGTAACATGAACCAAGCGCTGCGCAGCCAAATTGAAAACTTTTCGCAGTAATTGTCATTAAATATTATAAGATTCAACGCAGAAATAGTCTCTCTCTCTCTACAGCCATTCATTGGGCTATGCCATGACTCAGAAGATATGCTATCAAGACGTCGACTATAGTCAGTTCGATGACTTAAAACCCGCCTCAAAGGACGACACGTTCACGAATTTTATCTGGCGCGTGGTGAAAACAGAGACATCTTATATTGAATTTTTGCATTTAGTGGTTCTTTCTCTCCGCAGAATGGTCAAACGTGTGACAATATGATTGTGTATTGCCGCTTTGGCAACAAGGAGGACCGTTGTACAGATTTCTACAGAGAGGTACTTATGGATGAAGGAATTTGCTGCGCCTTCAACATCTTACACCCATCCTATTTATACAAGGGAAAGTGGGTTATTCTCTACTTAGTGGCACCTAAAGCTCTAAATTTATTAAGAGTATTTGTTTATTCTTCAGATATATATTTGTGCGTGATTTCACTTCTTCCATTGGCACAATACCTGTAGACTGGAATTTGGAGACCGGTTACGCTGATAAGCTGCCGCTTTACTATTACCCTCGAACGGCTGTCGGTATGAGTATTTTATCTCCGATTGATGCTAAGTTAGAGAAATTACGAAATGTTATCATGTTGTTATTTCAGGCGCAGGTGTTACGTTGGGATTTACTTTCGTACTCAATGCTAACCTTAGCGAATATATTTGCTCGTCAACGTTCAGTACCGGGTTGAAGGTAAGTGTACGAGTTAAAATTGTTTATAAGTATCAGTTTTAGGTCAAAATGTTTTAGAACATTTGACAGTCCCCTATTATTTGTCGCACTGGAATCTCAATTCAATTTAATTTCTTACTCAAAGAGTGGAAGAGTTTTCACTCTTTATGTTCGCACTTATTGCAGTCTCGCTTATATCCTTCCGTCAAACAAGTTAACCTTCGAACCGTAATAGGTGTGACGTAATCGCATATGATTCGCCACTTCTCCGTTTTCTTACTTTGAGCTCTGCCCTCTACAATATACTAGTTGACTTCGATAAACAAAACTATAGAGAAGTATTTGTATGACACAGTCAGTATAGTTGCTCAATGACAATTGAATCTTTGAAAGATCATACTTAAAATTTTGGAGTATCGAAAACATCTTCAGATCCATTTTTAGTCCAAAATAAAACCCTGAGAGCAAAATTACGCTCATCAAATAGAGCTAAACTTGGAAGCAGCCTGATTTTCTCATCCAGTGGCAATTAATGAGGTTATTTTACAGTTTTTGTAAATCATAAATTATAAATTCTTCATTACTATAACCACCAGGTGATCACTCACAATCCCATCGACACACCGCACGTTAAAGAGACCGGGTTATCCGTCCAACCAGGTTATCAGCATCGTTTTCGTTTGAACATCGACAGTTCAAAGGCGCTGCCGTCGACACGTAGTATAACGCCAAAACGTCGCCAATGTCTCTTCAATAACGAACTGGAATTGTTATATTTCCGTTACTACACACGACGCAATTGCGAAATGGAATGTGATTCCAAATATTATCTACGTCGCTGTCAGTGCATTCCATATCACATGCCACTCATTTATCCGAACGCCAGTGTCTGTCATGTGAAAGATTTTAACTGTGAATCCAAAGCCGAGGCGGAGGTCAACGATGAGCAACATGTGGCTTGTAAGCGTGAGTGCCTACCGGGTTGTTTCAATTTGGAATACTTTCCAACCGTCTACCGGACACCACTGGCGAACACGTCTTTTGTTTTTAGAGATGAGTTCTTTAGAAATTTCACAAAGCAAGAAATACATGAAAACTTCGTTTTGGTGCAAGTCTACTTCGCCGATGATTTGTTTCGATCCAAAGTTAGATCACCGTACACCAGCTTTACGGATTACCTCTGTAAGTTGCCCGAAATAAATGTTTAACAATTGAGAGTTCCCATTTTTCTTCAATTAGCACAAACTGGTGGCATTATGAGTTTGATGGTTGGTTTCGGCGTTATATCAGTACCTGAGTTCTTCTACTTCTTCTTTATTCGACCAATTTTTGATTTGATATTGAGGCGACTCCCATGTGTTGAGCGTCGAGTGACTGCAAGGAGACTTCGAAAAGGTGCAAATGGAAATGGACTTCTTTTGGGTAATAAGGTATGAACATATAAAATGTGGATCTTTATTCTTCGTGCAAAAGCCATAAAGTGATTTTTATTATCTGCAGCATCCTTTTTTTGCGAAAAGACCATTAGCCACAAGTCGTCGGCCTTTGAAGCCTTTTAATGGTTATAACAACCAAATGTTATACAGAGGCTTCATGAAACAGATTCCAATACAAAATGATCAAACTTTAAATGTTGATATGGAGAAGGAAGGTTTGTTTCCTTACACAGAATGAACCGTTGATGCCTTCCTACTGCGAAGCCCCTTTTGAACCACATATCTACGAGAGTTTTGAGAAAAAGCTCTGTTTTCAAAATATAAACTCCATAAACACCACATCTGGAATTATCAGGAAGATCTACAAGTCAAGATAACCTTTTTTTCCCGACTTTAGTTAGTTTTCGTTTCAATTAAGTTAAATTTGGAAACTCGATAAAGCGCGTTAGGCACATATCGCAGGTTAGTCTACAGCCTAATATGTATAATAATCGACGATTCATAATAAATTTTACTTGTTATTGTATATCTCATTATTTGAAGTTTTTGCTTCCGACATATTGTGGGAACATTTAATGTTCGGTCACATCAGGTTTAAATGGTTGAAATAAAACGATATGTCCGGCACTTGCGCTCTGTCTGCGTATACAGACTTTCTTAATTTTTCTGTTATTGCTAGTTTTATTCCGAAAATTTTTGGATCAATGTATTTTCTTTTTCGGCTGTCGACATTTACTTTTTCTGGTAACACCATATTTTTGATTTATCACAGTTTCAAACCTGCAAAGCTTTATTGTTGTTGAAAGCTCTCGTATCATGCCTATTTCAACATAACACTTCGGCAACCCAGGTAGGTTCGAACAGCGGCAAAGCGTGTATTCATTTAAAGTCCATTAAAAAGTTCATTCATTTTCAGTTCACTAACAACTATCGAGTGAGTGATACGTTTGGTTATTTTTGTCGGTAAGGAATTTGGTTATACGTCAATTGATGTTTGAAAGAAATAATAATTTTCGCCGCTTTGTTGTTTAATTGAAAGTAATTCTTGTGGGTAGTAATATTTACTATATCTACCGGTTTTAAGCCACTCAAGTAAAAATATAATTTGCATGTGTGCGTGTGATTGTGTATGAGTTGCGGACGAACCAGCATAAAAGGAAACGAATGTAGATCGCTCTTAATGTGCAACAACAACAGAATAACAAAGAAGTAAGGAAAAAAGTGGAAAAGATAAAATATCGCGATTGTTCTTTGACTACAAGTCGTATACATACTTGTGTTATAAGATAATAATAATTCTGTGCATAAAACGCTTTAAGTGAAGCTCAGTGCGTGCGTGTTGCTATTGTTAATAATACAGCTGGTATTCGTTTTATTTCCATCTAAAAGCTAAACGAAGTTTATTCACACTACCGTGTCTATACACACATCCCATAAGTTATTCGAATACTCAACCACTGCAATCCAACCAAACGAGCAAACTTTCTACATATGTATACACGTCTGCGGGACTTTCACTGCAACTGAAATATTTTACTGCTAATTGGAAATGTAAGTTTTTCACTCGCAGCCGCTGGCTCTTACCATAAATACCGCCACTCGTTTACTGCATCAAGGTCACTTGCAAACTCACAATTCGTGGGGAGTGTGTGAATTGCTCCATCTGCAAAGCAGCGCACAGTTTGAAGGCCATTGTGCGTGATCGTGTGAAAATTACTTGAATGTTTGGAAATTTCATACAAGCATACAAATGTATATATGTAAGCACAAGTGTACATACATATAAAACACTCATTTATATACTCCGCAATAATAAATATTTGCGTCGCGAATACGTTAAGCGGTCTAAACTCCAATTTATCAGATATATGTATGTATGTATGTACGTACAAACTCGAATCCACGTTAGAGTACCCTATTGGTAGGTGCATACATACATACATATGTACATATGTACATTTCCACTATAACGACATCAGTTCACATTTCGATATTTGATCAGTTGTGTTTTATCTTTATTCATCTCCTTTTTTTGTTTTTTTTTTTTTACCATTAACAACTCCCTTTAGATAGTATATTCGGGTTTTTTCTAGTCACATGACTCTCATCTGAATTCACTGCCTTTTTATTTGCCCACCTCTATTTTATACCAGTTTTTATTGCATATGTTACTTATTCATATTTGTACATACATACATACATTCATACATAATGCGTTCGTTTATATGTCTGAGCCACTCTTAGAGAGAAAAAGAGAGAGAAAAGTATGTTATTAGAAAACAATTTTAATGACACTACCTAATAGAGACCTTGAAATTGAAAACTTAATTAATAATTAAATTTAGACAAATTTATTATTTTCTAAATACCAGTCTGAATATCAAGCAAGCTTCCACATTGAAGAATGTAGAATCTGGTAATAAAATAATATGCATTTGCTTGGGTTGTAAATTTACAGTTTTTTATGTTATGCAACCGGTAAGACCTTACAATAAATATCGTTAGTTTTGCTATAGTTTTCCGAGTTGTAACCACTCCTTTTGTGTGAATATAGTTTTCTTAATGACTTAACTACAGATGGCGCTTACTAGCTCGAATATTCCTCCTAAAACAATTTGGGCTAAGGTTACAGAGCGCTTCAGGCCGAAAACCGAAAACTTTTATCTCAAAATAACTACTTAGATCTTGCTCAATATCTTGAAAATAAACCATCATAAAGCTACAAAAGAGAGCTGTGCAACTCTTATATCATTTCAAGTAGAGCTCCTAATCCAGGTTGACTGAATTCGGTAGGTTTGCTGTTTTTCAACTAGAAATACCTGAACGGCTAGATAGAAATTTTGCCTAACGGAGACATTGTAATTTATGAAATGACATATTATAACTTATCAAATATTTTCAATAAGAGTAATTAAGTTATACATACATATAAAGGTTCACTGCACTTAATAACTTTAGCCCTCAGCTTATAAGACTACGTCATCAAATTTTTTTTTAATGGACTGATATAATTTCATTCATTTTTCAACAACTACAACCAAAAGTCAATGAGCACGGCGACTCAATGTCGCTTCACCACACCTTCTTGTTTAACGGGCTTAACTTCTATTTGTCGGGATGGTGACAACCGCCTAAAAAGAAGCAAAAAGAAAATGGCTGTTGTCTGCCCGTGTGAACAGTTGAACAAATATTTTGCGAGCTATGACGACATTAACAGTAATGAGAAAAGGAAGTGCTAAGTTCCGGTGTAACCGAACATTTTATATGTTCTATGTTGAGTTTTCGCCCAATTGTAAATATTTTAGACACAATTTTATAATTTTTTTATTATAATTTTCATTCAGATAACTCAAATATTGGTCGGTATATGAAAAATAGTCCCCTGGAAGTAGGAAAATCTTTATATATATATATATATAAATATAAGGTGTATGGAGGCTCAGGGAAGTATTGACCCGATTCAACCAATTTTTGATACACAGAATTACTAATGTCAGGAAAGGATTCTGTCTATATTTCAATTGTATATCTCACACATTTACCGACATTTTCGGTGAAAAGTCAACTATAGACACTGGGTACACATATTAGCTACCTAGGGGCTTGGACTGTTTTGGTTGGTGGCATACTTGTAAGGAATTATTAGTGAAAAGTTTTGTTCCGTTTTATCAATTGCTTCCTCATTTGTGTTCTGAAAAGTGAAGCAATCATATGGAATTATTGATTGCTTTATATAAGAAGTTGGCATAGTTGTAGTGCGATTTCCCATTTCCATTTTGACACTGTGGCATGGAATATGAAAAGAATGTTACGTACTAAATTGACTCGAAATCGGACGGTCGAGTCCCGAGACATGAGATTGCAGCAACAAGTTTGCAGTGCCACGCCCATCAATACTGCGATCCGCTGTACTTAAATCTATAAACTCGTAATTTTTATACCCTGAGGAGGGTATATTAATGTGTAACACCCAGAAGGAAGCATCGGAGACCCTATGAAGTGTATATAAATAATCAGTATGTTGAGCTGAGTCGATATAGCCATGTCCGTCTGTCTGTATATATACGAACTAGTCCCTCAGTTTTTTAAATATCCTTTTGAAATTTCGCAAACGTCATTTTCTCTTCAGGATGCTGCTCATTTGTCGGAACTGCCGATATCGGATAACATATAGCTGCCATATAAACTGAACGATCGCAATCAGGGACTTGTATGGAAAACTTTCGCATTTGACGTGGGTTCTTCACGAAATTTTACATGAATTACTGCTTAAGGTAATACTGCAATCTCCGAAAAAAATTTTCAGTCCGGATTACTTAGCATGTAGCTTCCATACGTTTACGTTAACGTTACGTTTTTTCTTGTTTTTGTAATAAGGAACCCACATACCAAGTTTCATCAAAATATATAAGTTTTTACTCAAGTTACGCACGGACGGGCAGACAGACAGACAGTCACCCGGATTTCAACTTTTCTCGTCATCCTAATCATTGACTTCGTGAAAATCTCACAATTCATAACTTTTGAATTTGAGAGCTTGAAAGAATTCCAGCTTGAAAGAATTTTATTTTCGCCTCTAAATACTTGGGGAAATAAACTCGCCCGTTTTTTGTTCTCATTTATAGCAAATAGATTGAAGTATGCTTCGCATATTTTTAAATGTTTATTTGAATCATCCTTTTTCTCTCTAAATTTCTTGAATTATCCGTTTCTTGTTAATTTTTCTATTTAAATTTTCTTTGAGAGCTCTTCACAACGAAGAATAAGATCACAAATTTCTCAAACTGAAAATATCTGATAAAATATTGCTAAAATGCCTTACGAGTTTACTTTGACAGATTTTTGAAAAAAATAGCTTCACCAGATATAGCATTATAGTTATAATTATATTTATGTGATATCAATTGGTAGAGGATGGGCACATACTTATTCATAGGTACATCTAACTAGTTACAAAATTCATATTTTCACGAAATATTGCGTGCCAAATTATTATCATTCTGGTTGCAATTGTTTAGGTTTATATGTATGTGCAAGTATAAGTACATCTAAAAGCTTGAAAGAAAATACTTGTATACTGGGTGTCAACTCGTAACAGCACTAGGTTTGTGATAGGTAAAGTAAAGGTAGTTATTTATGAATTCCGACATATATTATTGCCGTTGAACACTATTCTCAATATCCCAAAGTTTGCAGTTCCTCCACATCAGAAATCGTATTCTAATATTTTCTTTATTATTTCTTTTTAATTCTCTTGAGTGAATGTTTAAAAACTACTTTACCCAGATGGCCATACTTCTTTTTATCCAACTACTTGCTATTACCAATAGAAATTGTTGAAAATGCGATAGAATAAAATCAGTTTTCAAAAAAAATTGATTGCTATTAGCACTATTACTATTAGGAGCGGAAGGTGCAGACTGGAATTGATATGAATGAGAAGCAAAGCTTACTGATCTCAACGCCTTAATTTTTCTTTCCTATCTCTTCAAAGGAAATCTAATCTCTTATGTATTCTTAATTTGTGAACAAATTAAACTAGAGAAAATATGAATAAGGTTGTGTAGTAATATCTGTATTAATACATGATCGCCAAGAAGACATCTGTTCCGACAAGCATTTGCTGAATCCAATTTGATTGAACGGTTCAGAAATTGAAAAATGTGCTTTTCTCAAATATAACAATGAACAAAGTAGGCAGAATACGCTTGTACAATAACAGTTGTGTGGTATTTTTTCTCTGAGAAGATCAGTTCAATTCGTAGAATATTAGGAGTAATAGGCCGTTAATGCTCACTAATACATCTTCGATCATAGTTGACTTGATCCGGCTTACTCTTCTGCCCTTAAACAACATTTCTTAAGATTCGCAGAACTTGTGTGATTATTAGAAACTGTAGATTTATAAATGTAGAATAAAGATAGGAACGAATCGTATTCGATCTCGTAGTTATTCAAAGTAAGCAATTTATTACCGCGAAAACGTAATGTTGACACCAATATACCTCGAGTTGGGCCATTGAATTGCTGACTACTATGAAACACTTTCGACGAAACATTACAAATTCAGAATAAATTAATAACAATTATTTTATTTTATTGTAAGTGATTATTAAACCTAATAATATACGTATCAAGTTTTTATTAACGACTTTCTTTTAGGAAAAAAATCAGCTTTAAAAGACGCCTTATATTATGGTTTACTTTTATCCAATATTGTATAACTGAGTATGCCTGTTAATGCGCTCATCATTTTAATATTCATGGCATGGCAGTCTCGAAAGTTTTCAATATGTATCAAAATTGAGTTTTAAAATACTATCAACGCCCTTTGTAATACAGTATTTTAGAGGAAGTGAAAATTGCTCAGAGGTGTTGCAGTCAATTACACCTACAACGCAGATACAGATCGCGAATTTCACAAGTTCTCAATTCATTGTGTGCTATACTGAATCACCGAACCGCTTTGGGAATTACTCAGACGGGCGCCTACAACAGACGTTCTTCGCATGATAAATATATTATTATATAAATGCATATGTACATATTTA